AGGACTTCCTCCTAGGCCTCTGCATTCCTTTCTTTTTTTTTAGTTTTTTATTTTTTTGAGTTGGAGTCTCACCTGTCACCCAGACTAGAGTGCAGTGGCCGCTCCCGGCCACTGCAGCCTCGACCTGCTGGGCTCCGGCGATCCTTCCGCCTCAGCCTTCCAAGGAACCGGAACTACAGGCATGCGCTACCATGCCCAACTAATTTTTTTGATTTATTGTAGAGACAAGGTCTCGCCAAGTTGCCCGGGGGGGCGGTCTCGAACCCAGAGGCTCAGGCAATCCACTCACCTTGGGCTTCCAAAGTGCTGGGATTACGCTGAGCCACCGAGCCCAGCCTGTATTCCTTTCAATAGCTCCACTGTCAAGAGAGCCAAAGAGAGCTTTTGGGTGGCCCAGCTGTGAAATTTCTGATTCCCTGAGGTATAACCCTAAGCTAACCAGGTCATCCTGAGGACCTTTTCACTCTACAGCCGGGAGGTTTTGCCTTCTTTCGGGAAAAGCTTTTTCACAAAGGCTGTAGCCATGAATCCCTACCACCCCCAGCCTGGGCCCATATTTGTCTCCATTTGAGTTGATCCTTCTGAGTCATCCCTCCTGTGGTTCAGCCACTAGATTCACAGTAAGGAGCCTGTCTAGACCCAAAGGATGATATTTATGATGATAAATTCTGAGCACCTATTGCCCTCTGCATCCCCCGAGGGTCTCAGAAATAAAATAAGGATCAAGCCCAGTCAGTGCTTTTATTTTGAAACACAATACCATGGATCCTGGAGGAATGCACAAATGTGTTTGCAAGGGCATGCTTGCAGAAGCTAACGAGAGTGCTGCGAGAGTGTGGCAGGTCCTGGAGCTGAAGCCCACCCCCATCCTCCCCACTCCGCTTTGGGGAAGGCCACGGGTGTGCCCTGCAGAGCTGTGCAGGCCTCGGATGTGCCAGCCCATAACCACTGTGGCCTCTTGGTTTTACAGATATGAGCCTAAACTTTCAAAACCTGTCAGTGATCGGGTTCCGCATCGCCCTCCTGAAAGTGGTCGGATTTAACCTGCTCATGACGCTGCGGCTGTGGTCCAGCTAAGGTGAGGCATCAAAGCCAGGAGTGGGGGCTGCTGGGCGCAGGTCTCGGGGTGCATCCCAAGCTCTGAAAGCAAACCTCCCTGCAGGGCCTTGCTTCGAAGGCCTGAGCCTGGGCCCACCAAACTCTTCCCTTTCTTCCTGTTACAAGTTCTTCTTGTGAATAGCCTGAACCTCTGCCTGACAAGATACACTCACTTCAGCCACCTCAGTTGAACCATGTCTCCCCTGTGAAGCATGAAGAACAATTGTTATTATTCCTGTTTTAGAAACGAAGACACAGAGGCCAAGTCACATCAAAGGCCACACAGCTAATAAGTGGAAGAAAAGAGAAACTCATTTATGCTATACCTCTTTCGCTGTGTAACCTAAAGGGGCTCCCAAGGCCTTTATGGCTCCCTCAGCTCAGTAGTGAGGAGACATTATACTCATATCTATAATCACACTAATCTTGGCTAGAGTCTCCATGTCCTCCTCCCCAGAGTCCTGGGTCATCTTGCTGTCACTGAATCGTGTTCCACCACCACCACCAAAAAGAGCTCAGGGCCCATTTGCTCCAAGAACTCAACCACCCAGCCCCAAACAGAGGCATCTCCATCACGTCCCTAACAGTCCCGGGTCCTCCTCCGGGGCCAGCCTGACTTCTGTTCTTCCTCATCCCAGGTCAGCAAGATTGCAGGAGTGCCGGTGCTCCCTCACTCCTTCCTCCGCATCACCCGTCCTCTCACCTCTTCAAGCAGAAGGAGCTCTCCCACCTCCATGAAGGAGAAGGCTGCCATCACTTCTCTGCACACACACACACCCCCCCCACCTCCCCAGCAGTGCCACCAACTGGATCCCACCTGAATTTGTGATGAAGATTGCTGAAAAGCTGCCAAACACTGCTGCCACCCCCTCTGTTCCCTTGTTGCTGCTTGTCACTCCCTGACATTCACGGCAAAGGCAGGGCTGCGGCAGCCTCTCCCGGCTGCGGAGAAATGCCCTCCTCCTCCCCAGGGACTGCCTCTGCCGTCCGGATGATGGATCCCCGTCATCAAGGAGCTCTTGATCTCCAGCTCCTGGAGAATGTTGCAAGGAGTTTGTATTTTTTAAATACTGTTCATAAAGAAATACATATTGCTCTTTGTCTCGAAATGTGGGAGAAAATTATCTCATTATCGAGGCCCTGCTTTGCTGTGTATCTGTGCCACGTTGTATATCCTGCTGCCCATGGCTTCATTAAAAGTGATTTGGAAGAGTAGAGACTGCTGTGCTCCTGTTTGACTGGGTTTGGTTGGGATCGTTTCTTCTTGCTAATGATCATTAGCTGGGCAGAGACAAACCAAGACATTTGTCCATGATGCCGTCCAGGGAGCCTAATTCAGTGAGTCAACCTCTTTTTGGAATAGCCTCCAAAAACTTCCATTTAGCAGACTGTGCTTGGAGCCAGGAAACCCCACCTACAAGACTGGGCCCCTCCTCTCCAGTTCTCATGCCACACCATGGGACCACCCATCACAGGAGCCCATGCACGTGGGTGGTAGCGACCTGGGTTTGGTCCTGGAGCTGAAAATGGGCAGTTGGAGACCACACAGCAAGTGTCCCCCAAAATGTCACTCCACTGTCTCCTGCCCCAGGAACGTTTCCCTTGCCTTTCCTCTTAGATTGGATTTCTGTTGAAACTGTGCATTGTCCTACAAATTCACACCAGAGGACCACCCACCAGTTGGCTCCCCAGTTCCAGTCCCATGCCCCGCTCCTTGAGGCACTCATCTAGGAGGGTTGAGATTGTGACCCCAGCAGGACTTAGCACCCCCACCATCCTGGATGTGAGAGTGAGGAAAAGAGAGATGAGCTCTCTCTCCTCAAGGACTCCACCGAAGACAGTAGAGGGGATGTCTCCAGCTCTCACCTAGGGGAAAGACATGGGATTCCCTGGGGTCTCCCCCACACACTGTTCCCTCTCCTGAGACTCCTGCTGCCAGAGTTCTTTCCCCAGGGTCATGGATGCTGACAGCAACACACACCAGAGACCATTCAGACAACTACCCTCACCAAGATGCAAAGCTTCCTAATTCCAGGAGGTGGGGGGGGTCTATCCCTAAATAACTCTATATTCACCTACATGCCTGACCACACCAGCTAGAAGTAGGCAAATCTTCCCGGCTACAATTCAGGCCTGCTTCTCTTCATAAGGATGGAGCTATAGGTAGAGTATCCCTTCTCCAGATTGTTTGGGACCAGAAGTGTCTCCGGTTTCAGATTTTTTTTTTTGGATTTTGGAAAATGAGCATTATACTTACTGGTTCAGCTCTCCTAATCTGAAAATCCAAAATTCCAAATGCCCGGTGAACATTTCCTTTGAGTGGTATGTAAATGCTCAAACAGTTTCGGATTTGGGGACATTTCAAGTTTCGGACTTTCGGATTAGGCATATTCAACCTGTGCCAGTTTTAACAGATAAGCTAGGGCATGTCCCTTCCCTCTGTGAACCTCAGAGTCAAAGCCTATGAAATGTCAGGCAGCACTGGAGGTTGCCTCCAGCACCTCTGATTCTGATTCTGTGACTCCTGGAGAACCAAGAACCAGCATCCCATCTCCTGGTCAGCACTACTGAGAGTAGTCATGGAAGCCCCAATTCGTTCACTCTTTTTTTGTGTGTCAAGGTCTCACTCTGTCACCCAGGTTGGAGTGCACTGGCACAATCACAGCTTACCACAGCCATGACATCCCAGGCTCAGGTGATCCTTCCACTTCAACGTCCCAAGTAGCTGGAACTACAGACATATGCCACCACATCCAGCTAATTTTTTTGTATTTTTTGTAAAGATCGGGGGTCTCACTTTGTGGCCCAGGCTGGTCTCGAACTCCTGGCCTCAAGCAATCCTCCTGCCTTGGCCTCCCAAATTGCTGGGATTACAGATGTGAGCCACCGCGCCCAGCTGCCAGTTCTTTCTAGGCTACTTCATCTCAGGTCTCAGAAGAACTCCCATCGGAGCAGGGTCACTCACACACGGTAGGACCTGATCACCTTCCCAAAGGTAGAATTTACCACCTGTGGGCAACTCTGGGCAGCCTCTGGCTTAAAAATGCTTCCTTCATCAGTCTGACACGATACCAGAGATTCCACCATTGGGAATTTCTTTTAATTAAAGCATTCTCTTCCCCATATTAAATGAAAATGCCCCTGGGAGAGTTAATAGAGTAAGTCTTTATCAACTGTTAAAAACTTAAGGCAAATTAGTTTGTCTTTTTTCTTCCTCCCCCCACCAAAGTGGTAATTCACTTTTCTCTATTAAAAAAGATCCAGACAAGGGAAGTATGAGGTCTGCTCCTGCGAGCTGCAGCTGAAGGGTTGACACAGGGCTTAGGACAGGGCACAGGAGCCTGGAAGGCAGCGGAGAGGCCAAAGACAGACTCGTCCAGGAACCTCAGAGGAGACCCAGACTGCAGGAGGCCTCCGGGGGCCTGCAAGACCAGTGCCCTTGGACAGCAAGGCGCTGCGGTCACTGGTGCCCTAAGGCCGCCCAAGGATCCTATGCAAGATAGCACAGCAGGGACTGGGGATCCGCCACCCCCACAGAGGGAGGCAGGTTGACAAGGCCTGGACAGGTAGGAGGCCATCTCGATGGGGAGCAGGCTCAGCTCCACTCCGAGCCTTTTCCATCCAAAACCAGAGGTTCCTGGATTCAGCAAGAACCTACATGGCTGAGGCTGTCAAACCTAAACCTAGTTAGCGCTGATGTCAGAAGTGTGGACCAGGAGCGAGAGGGGTGAGGGTGAGCAACTGTTGGGATGGAGACAGAGACTCCATCCAACTAACGGCTGCCTTCGGGTCTGGCTCCAGGCCCCACCTGGGATGTCGGAGGGAATTGAAGCGGCCTTGTGGGGAGGCCCAGGAGAAGGGTCCTCTGTGCGCTGGGCAGGTCAGCACTGGGCCTACGGCGGCCTCAGTGGAGCCCCCCTATAAGGAACTGGGCATTGTTTAGCCTAGAGGGAACAGGCAGCTGAGAAAACCTGGAGACACGGGCGTGAAGAGCCCAGCCCTGAAGACTCCCATCCCAGAGAGCTGGGCCGTGGCCTACAGCTGCAGCTTTGGCAGCCTGGACCCAGCCTCAGGGAGGGAAGGTTGACTCCCTGGCAGGGACCATGTCCCCATGGCCAGTTGTAGAATGGACTTCTCTGGGCAGACTCCCCCACTGTCCCAAAAGGCTTCCCTGGAGGCAGAAGAATGGATCAAATGACTTCTCGTGACCCCAGGCCTAAGACTCTAGAGGATTCTTGAAACTTTCCTCAGAGACCTGACCTCTGAGTGCAATCGGAGTCACAGTCTGCTCAGGAGGAAAAGCAAGCTGAGGAACGACATGCCTCAGGAGAATCCGGGGGGTCTGTAGCTCCAGCAGAGTGACCCCACTGCCGTTACCCACAGTTGGAGGGGCAGCCATCTGAGTCTTAAAGAGTTATTTATTAGCCGGGCTCAGTGGCTCAGCCTGTGATCCCGCGCCTTTGGGAGGCTGAGGTGAGTGGATTGCCTGAGCCCGAGGGTTCAAGACCCACCTGGGCAACTTGGCGAGACCTCATCTCTACAATAAATCAAAAAATCAGCCGGACGTGGTAGCACATGCCTGTAATTCCGGCTACTTGGAAGGCTGAGGTGGAAGGATTGCCGGAACCCGGCGGGTCGAGGCTGCAGTGGCCGGAAGCGGCCACTGCACTCCAGTCTGGGTGAGAGAGTGAGACTCCAACTCAAAAAAAAAGAGTTGTTTATTTTTTAGGCTTACGCATAACATTAACTCCCCTGGGGTCACCTGTAAAGCCTTGATATCACCTTATCATAAGGTAACATCCCAGCAAGGACATTTCCTGATGGAAGTGCACCTTGTTCACCGGCATGTCCCCAGCAGCTAGCACAGAGCCTGGGACACAACAGATGGTATCAAATGAACAAGTGAATGACTCCTGGGCTTGGGCACTGGGGAGGGAGTTAACTAGGAGGGGTGAGGTGGAGTCTGGGAAAAAAGAAAGTGGGGATTCATAGAGGAGGTGGCCAGGTGGCCATTACTTCACAGTTTCACCAAGAGATGAGTAACTTGTCAAGAACCACCAGAGAAAGCAAAGCCTGTGTGGCGGCCCCTTGGCCAGGGCAGCCCCAGGCAGACATTCTTCCACCCAATAAAGCCTGGAGGGAGGGTACTCTGTGAAAGTACAACAGGTAGCCAGGAGGCTGAGCTCTAGTCACCAAGAGACCACACCATGGTCCATGGCCAAAAGTCACTTTACGGTTCCCCCTCAGTCTCTCCACATGTTCCATCCTAAAACCCATCTCCAATCTGCCTCCTAAACAATGAGTAAGAAGAGGAGCTTCCTTGGCCGAGCGCAGTGGCTCAAGCCTATAATCCCAGCACTTTGGGAGGCTGAGGCGAGAGGATTGCCTGAGCTCGGGGGTTCGAGACCAGCCTGGCAACTTGGCAAGACCTTGTCTCTACAATAAATCAAAAAATAAGCCCACCATGATAGCTCACGCCTGTAGCTCCAGCTACTTGGAAAGCTGAGGCAGAAGGATCACCTGAGCCCAGCAGGTTGAGGCTGCGGTGGCCATGAATGTGCCACTGCCCTCCACCTGGGCGACAGAGTGAGACTCCAACTCAAAAACAAAAAACGAGGCGCTTCGACTGATATGGGACTTGGGGAGCAAGCCCCATGGAGATCCAGGGCTGTCATTCTCGCTAATAAACACGCTGATTGCTGGGGAGGCCA